TTCAGTGAAACGGCCCCCCCGCACGTCGATGTACCAAGTGGGATTTTTTGGAACAGAGTTCATGGGATAAAAACAAATGCTCCAATGTGAGAGAGAGAAACAAAGCACACCTGGCTTCGCAAGTCTGCCGTAGCGGGTGGTCCCGCGGAGACCGCACCGAAGGGCGTCGCTGGGCTTGGGGGCAGGGCAGGGCCGCTGCCGAGGGCGGACGCTTTCCCAAATGCAAAGCCCGAGGAGGCCGCCGGCGCTGGCGCCGGAGCGGACGGAGTGAAGCTGAAGCTGGGCACGTCTGTCGTGCCGCTCGGCGAGCGCTCGAACTTGGTGGGCGCGGCAAAGCTGAAGGTCGCGAGCCCCGCCAACGCGGGCGCGGCAGCCGGCGCCGCCGGTGCCGTGGGAGTGGCGGCAGTGGCAGGCGATGCGGTCGCAAGGTCGGAGGCGGCGACGGCGGAGAGCTGCTCGACCACCTTGCTGAAGCGGGGCCTCTCGTCCGCCTCCACCTTGCCCAGCTTCTCGCGCGCCGCGTCGAGTGCCGTCCGACCCTTTTGCGTCTTGAGCGACGCGTCGGCCCCCGACGAGAGCAGGAGCGGCACGCAGTCGTCCCACCCCTCCGACGCCGCGTAGATGAGCGGCGTCACACCCGCCTTGGTCGTCTTGTTGACGTCGGCGCCCGCGCCGACCAGCGCCACGATGTCCTCGTGCCGGCCGCACTTGGCCGCCCAGTGCAGCGGCGCCATCGTCTTGACGTCCACCGTGTCCACGTCGGCCCCGTCGCCGATCGCCTTGACGAGCGCGTCGTGGTCGCCCATCTCGGCCGCGTTGATCAGGTCCTCCGACGCGGCCGCGCTGGGCGCGGCAGCCTTGGCGGCGGCGGGCGGGGCCCCGGCCGGCGGCGCCGGGTTCTGGGGGGCGAAGGAGAAGGGAACAGCCGGCGCCGGCGCCGGCGCGGCTGGAGCCGGGGCGGACGGCGCCGCCGCAGCCGCGAAGGAGAAAGGCGACGCTGTCGGAGGCTTGGCGAAGCTGAACGGCGCGGCGGGCGCGGGCGCGGGCACTGAATCGGCGAGCGAAGACTTTGGCGTGAAAGTGAATGGGGCGGCGGCGGCCGGCGTCGGAGCGGACGCCTGTGGGGCGAAGGAGAAGGAAGGCGCGGAAGGCGCTGCGGCCCCTCCGAAAGTGAAGCTGCCGCCGCCGCCACCGCCAAACGGCGTCGTCGCCTTGGCGCCGGCACCAAAGCTGCCAGCCGCGCTCGGCGCCACGGCGGCGCCAAACGTTGGCACGCTGCTCCCGCTCCCAAACGCAGCCGCGGCGGGCGCGGGCGCGGCGGCGGGTGTCGAGATCTCCCCGAGGTGCTCGAGGACCAGCTTGAAGCGGGGCTGTGCCTCGGCCGGCGCCTGGCGAAGCCCGTCCGCCGCAAAGTCGCGCGCGAGACGCCCCTTCGGCGTCTGGGCCGCCATGTCGGCGCCGAAGCCGAGGAGGAGCTCGACGCAATCGTCCCACCCATTCGCCGACGAGGCCATCAGCGGTGTCACCCCGAGCGCGTTGCGCGTGCCCGGGGACGCCTTGGCCTCGAGCAGCAGCTTGACGCACTCTGGCCGGCCGTCCCGCGCCGCCCAATGCAGCGCGGTGTTGCCGCCTTCGCCAATGGTTTCGACGTTGGCGCCCTCCTCGAGGGCGTCGCGCATGGCAGCGACATCGCCGCGCGCGGCCGCCTCGAGCAGCTTAAACGCCGCGGGGCTGGCCGCCTCGGTGCTACCGGCGGGCGTGGCGGCGGGGGCGCGGCCGGGCGAAGCAGCAGGCGCTGCCGGAGACCCGCCGCCAAACGCGGAGCCGAAGGAGGGAGTTGAGTTGGGCAGGCGCGTGTGCGGCGAGCAGCCGCTCGGCAGGCTCGCGACGGAAGCTAGCGATGCCGCCGTCGCCTTGATCTCCGCCTCGTCCTCGGAGGGAGTGGGCGTCAGCTCTCCGTCGTCGGCATCCTACGTGGTGGATACGCCAGCCTCAGGGCGGGAATGCGGTCTCGCGCCGCGTATTCGCAGCACTACGTGAGGAGGAGGGATGCGAATACAGCGTGTACAGCAGAATGCGGCCAAAGACAGTGGAAGGCGTGCCTCTCGAGCGCTAGTTGGGAGACACGAATACGTAACACGTATTCCGCTTCTCAGGCTGTCGACCTCATCCCCCTCCTCCTCGTCCGAGTCGTCTGAATCGGCGGCGGCGCTGCGGGCGGTGCGGGCCGCCCCCCCAGTTCGGCCACTCTGCGGCGTGCCACTGCTGCTTGCCGGAGGCGTCAGCGCCGCCTTGAACCCTCCCTTGAGATCGGGCGCGGCCGAAGCAAACGAGAAGGCGCTGCCCCCACTCCCAAACGAGGGGGCGGGCGCCTTTGCGAAGCCGCCGCCGCTGCTCGCTGCAAGGCCCGCAAATCCGCCGCCGCCGCTCGCTGCAAGGCCCGCAAATCCGCCGCCCGCTGAGGAGCCGCCAAAGGCCGTCCCACCCGTGCTGCCGAAGGCGGTGCCTACCCAAAAACACAATGTGGGGTGAAGGTGGTGGTGGGAGGGAGGGGGGAGGGGGGTGCTTTGGCCTGCGGCGGCGGCTGCCGGCACGGCACCAAAGGCGCTCTTTGCGCCGAAAGCGGCGGGGACTGCGCCAGCGCCACCAAAGGGAGAGGGAGAGCCAAAGGTGAGCTTGCTTCCCGCTGCTGCCGGAGCCGGTGGTGCCGCGGAGACCGCACCGAAGGGCGTCGCTGGGCTTGGGGGCAGGGCAGGGCCGCTGCCGAGGGCGGACGCTTTCCCAAATGCAAAGCCCGAGGAGGCCGCCGGCGCTGGCGCCGGAGCGGACGGAGTGAAGCTGAAGCTGGGCACGTCTGTCGTGCCGCTCGGCGAGCGCTCGAACTTGGTGGGCGCGGCAAAGCTGAAGGTCGCGAGCCCCGCCAACGCGGGCGCGGCAGCCGGCGCCGCCGGTGCCGTGGGAGTGGCGGCAGTGGCAGGCGATGCGGTCGCAAGGTCGGAGGCGGCGACGGCGGAGAGCTGCTCGACCACCTTGCTGAAGCGGGGCCTCTCGTCCGCCTCCACCTTGCCCAGCTTCTCGCGCGCCGCGTCGAGTGCCGTCCGACCCTTTTGCGTCTTGAGCGACGCGTCGGCCCCCGACGAGAGCAGGAGCGGCACGCAGTCGTCCCACCCCTCCGACGCCGCGTAGATGAGCGGCGTCACACCCGCCTTGGTCGTCTTGTTGACGTCGGCGCCCGCGCCGACCAGCGCCACGATGTCCTCGTGCCGGCCGCACTTGGCCGCCCAGTGCAGCGGCGCCATCGTCTTGCCGTCCACCGTGTCCACGTCGGCCCCGTCGCCGATCGCCTTGACGAGCGCGTCGTGGTCGCCCATCTCGGCCGCG